TCAAAGGAGCAATTATCACTGAAATTCAGTGCCAGGAGATAGATAGAAAGAGGATGTGAACAAGGACCACTGAGATGGATATGTAGTGCCAGAGACCTAGGAAAATGTGCAACATGCATCAAATTTGAGTTAAGTGATCTTATCTTTGATAAGTGCTTAAACTGGAACACTTTACTACGTAGCATTATGGAAGTGAACAACGTTTGAGTGGCTGTACAAATGTCCCTTAAGCGAAAGGACACTTTGAGGCACTGCATTGTGGTAGTTCCGGAAGGATTTAACAAAGGAAGCTTAGTAAAAAATATTAGCTTTTAAATATGGGAAGACTCTGGAAGAACTTCGCTTCAGAGAACAGTTCAGAAAGATCTTTAAACACATGCAGACAGAAAAGAAACAGAAATCAAACCCTGAAGCAGCGAACCCAGCGATTCAACACAAAGAACAGTTAGTATATATCCTAATTTTGTAGAAACTAGATCCAACGATGATCGTTGAACGCAGCCAACGTTGTGTTCCAGCAAGGTTTCCACTCGTTTGCCGGTCGGTTTGTCGTCTATTTGGGGTGTTGTTGGTTGTGTTGCTTCGTTATCGCCTAGCGGCGACAGCGTCAACTTTTGCAAATGACGTCAAATGTTATAAAGAAATTTCAGTATACCAAACCATACTCTACAGTATATATGTACAGAGTATATGCCACAGACTCGTATGTATATTCAGTATTCAGTCTGTCTGTCTGTCTGTCTGTCTGTCTGTCGCGGTGTGCACTGGCTGGCGTAACTGGATAGCAGCTCATTGCTGCTGCTGCTGCTGCTGCTGCTGCTGGCATTTCCATTATTATCATAATGTGTTGTTCGATTTGGGTTTCGGATTGCCTTGCCTTGAGTTGCCTTGCCCGACTCTGGTCTGGGCGGTTTCCACTTGCTTCTAGTAGCTGCTGCGGCTTGTGGTGGCTTGTGGCACCGATGGTGTGGATGCCGCAGATGGAGCTGCCAAGATGCCAACACGCTTCGACAATGCCTACTTACGTGTGCTTTTTCTCCGTTTTCTGTGTTTTATTTTTATTTTGTTTCATCTGTGCTGTTACATGGCACATACATGTGTCTTAAATTTAATCAATTTTGATTGATGTGCGCGCGCGCGCGCCCAACGGCTGCCACAGCAGCCCCCAAAAGCAGACAAGTCAAATCAGCAAATCAGCCGCAACCACGAACCAACAATACCCTCATAGATCGCTCGGTGTTGTCCCATTTGATGTAACTGCAGATTCTCCCATTTGCAGTGGGGAAAATATCTTCTACTTTGGGACAAGTTCTTTGACAAACTCTTTCGAATTTTTCTGTGGATCTCTCTCTCTCTCTTATGCTGCTCTCTGGCTGCCTACAGGGTATCCCAATCACTCCTCAGACAGCGGTAAGCTAGGGACAGTGGGCCAGGCACTTGGAGCTGGAGGAGGGACCTGGTGGCTGCCTGACGGTTGGCGTTTAAGGAGCGAACGGGTTCGCAAATGTGCAGAAATCATAAATGCAGCCATCAGCCCCAGCATCAGCAATGAGCTGGCCTCTCTCTCTCTCTCTGTCTGTCTCTCGATTTGTATCTCTCTCTTGATGTCCATAACTCTGCCGCAGTTGCAGTTGCAATCTGAATTTTGTGTCGGAATCGTGCCGCCTAATGCGCCAGTGGAGCATCGAGCGTCTGTCCCCGACGCAGGTCGTGTAAAATGTCCGTGTGCGCCCTCACCCAACCGCAACAGAAGCAGAAGCAGAAGCAGAAGCAGAAGTCGCCCCGGCCAGCGGCTGGAAAACCTTTGCTGACACCACTAACCGCTGCCGGAGCACTGCCGCTCCAGAGCTCCTCGAGCTTGAGTAAGAATCAGATACCGCCGACGCCGCCGCCCTCGCCGCAGGTCCGCATCTACGAGGACTTTGACAGGATGAGCGCCAAGGAGGTGTACTACAATGAGGCGGGCAAGAAGGTGACCGTCAAGCTGCTGCACTTCCCGGACGTGTCGCCCGAGGATATAGCCAAGCTCCGCTTCGACGACGAGGACGATGACGAGGAAGCGGAGAAGGAGGAGGAGGATGAGGAGAATGACAGCCGTGTGCCGAAGAAAGCGGCCGCAGACAGCGATGAGGATGCGGGCAGCGAGGCGGAGACCAACAATGGACATCCAGAGGCCCACGCGACTGGCGGCGGCAGCAGCTCCGGCACCACCAACAACACCACCAGCAGCACCGTCAAGAAACTCTTCCGCCGCAAGCTGTCGGGCAACAACATGCAGTCGAGGAAGTGCAGCCTGGCCTTTGCCCAGGCCCACGGCATACGGCAGCGGGCGGAGAAGAAGCTCTCCATGCCGACCATCAGCATCACGGCCAATTCGGGCGATCAAATGGCGCACAACATGAACCTCAATCTGAATCTGGCTGGGAGCCGGAAGCTCTCGCAGCAGCACTCGCTGCCGCCGGGCTCTGGTTCTGGTTCCGGGTCCCCGAGCTCGCCCACGGCACTGGGACTGGGGCCGCGGCGCTCCCATTCGCCGCTGGGCCAGAGCCTGTGTCCGGGCTACATTCAGTACTCCAAGTCGCTGCTGGAGGTGCCCATGCCGCGGGACTATGGCTACGCCAGCAGCGATGATCTGAGCTCCGAGTGGGACTCGGATGTGTCCACCTCGGGTGCCCCAAACGCCTCCTCCGGCTCGACAGCAGCGACGGCGGCTGGCGGTGGCGGTGCACCGGGCACCAAGAAGGTAACGAGCGACAAAGAGAGGAGCCCCTCCAGCGGTTCTTCTTGCTTGGATCATTTTATGCTGTTTCCTGTGCATCTCTTTTGATCTGCTCATTAATCTCCTCCTTTTTCTGCTCCTTGTGCGATCCTTTGCAGAGCTCCGGCTGGCGGAAGATTCGGAACATTGTGCAATGGACGCCCTTCTTTCAGACGTACAAGAAGCAGCGCTATCCATGGGTCCAGCTGGCCGGACATCAGGGCAACTTCAAGGCCGGTCCCGAGCCGGGCACCGTCCTCAAGAAGCTCTGCCCCAAGGAGGAGGAATGCTTTCAGATCCTCATGCAGGACCTGCTACGGCCCTATGTGCCCGTCTTCAAGGGGCAGGTGACCAGCGAGGATGGTGACCGTGAGTTGCGCCTTTGATTTTGTTCTTTTTCTTTTTCTGATTCCCATTCTCATCCGTACCCCCCCCGGCCTGCCATGTCAGCAGTTTACTTGCAGCTCCAGGATCTGCTGAGCGACTACGTCCAGCCATGCGTGATGGACTGCAAGGTGGGGGTGCGCACCTACCTCGAGGAGGAGCTGTCCAAGGCCAAGGAGAAGCCCAAGCTGCGCAAGGACATGTACGACAAGATGATACAGATCGACGCCCAGGCGCCCACACTGGAGGAACATGCGGCCAAGGCGGTGACAAAGCCCCGCTACATGGTCTGGCGTGAGACAATCTCCAGCACGGCCACGCTGGGCTTTCGCATCGAAGTGAGCTCCCCTCAAACGCACAAGCGAAAAGTGCCAAAGAGAAACAAAATGAACGTTTTCCTTCTCTCACTCTCGCAGGGCATCAAGAAGAGCGATGGCACCAGTTCCAAAGATTTCAAAACGACCAAGTCACGCGAACAAATCAAACTGGCCTTCATGGAGTTCCTCAGCGGCCATGCCCAGATTCTGGTAGGTGTACAGGTGTCGCCCCTGGAGCCACGCTAATGGCATTCTCTCTCTCTCTCTCTGTCTCTCTGCCACAGCCGCGTTATATACAGCGACTGCGCGCCATACGCGCCACTCTGGCCGTGTCGGAGTTCTTCCAGACCCACGAGGTGATCGGCAGCTCCCTGCTATTTGTGCACGATCATACCCATGCCAGCATCTGGCTGATTGACTTTGCCAAGACGATGGCACTGCCGCCGGAGCTGCACATCGATCACTATTCGGCGTGGAAGGTGGGCAACCATGAGGATGGCTACCTGATTGGCATCAACAATCTCATTGACATATTCGTCGAGCTGCAGGCGACCCTCGAAAAGGACGCAGAACCATCCAAAAACGAGGAGGATGGTGCAGCAGGAGGAGCCGACGAGTGAACACAAATTCGTTGAAGAAGGGGCTGAGCCCCTGAGTGGCACGAAACACGATTGAATATTCCCCCTAAAACCCAAGTTTAGGCTAGAAAATAGTTTTTTTTTTTGTTTTTTTTTTTATATAAACTACATACATTTAACCCGTTAAATTTAAAGAAAAAGACTGAAACAGAATATACCTATACGATATATATGTAAACAAAACTTATAGATATATTTACACACATTTACATAAAGAACCCGCAAGTGCAGATTAATGCATACAAAATGTACAAGTAAATGTCTCTATAGCTTATTTGCGCTGCTGCTGCTGCTGCTGACCAAGTAATTTATTTATGCAAGATGGCACAATCCCACGAACCGCGTATAAAGGTAGCGAAAATGAAATGAAATCAATCAGAATAATAATATGTAATCCGTAATGTTACGAGCAGAGTTTAGTTTTATTGTTATTAATGTAACGTTAATGCGATTACCTACTAAATACATACTAATTGTGCACTATTAAATTCAGTTCGAAACCGAAACTTTGATAAACGTGTGACTACATAATTTCAAAGACGATATTCACGCGCCAATAGGTAAAGCTGCAGGCGATAGCCAACGCCGGGTCGCAGTCTCAGCAATCGATAGGTCCATGGTACAAGTAGGGAAGGTGGGAACAATATGTTCTGTGCTGGCAAAGCTTACACAATTTTGAACCTAATTCCAATGTTTTTCTACACAGTTCATGGCAATCCATCCAATCACTACACACTGGTTAGATGCGAGTTTTGTTATTTCGACATACGCCATAGAAGAAATAAACCCCGCAAAAGCTCCCCACCTAAAATAGTTATACCATGCGCTTGGAATACAGCGTTCGGTAACACTGGCGCTGAAGCACACGATTTGGCGCAAAAAGCGAGAGGGAGAGAGAGAGAGAGGGACTACCCATTAACTATAACTATATCTATATCTCGCTCCATTCTCGATTTTGTTACCGTGCCGAAAGGTTGTGTTATTTTCAACCAGATCTTAGATCGACCCGAGTCATCCAAAGCGGAAGTCCATTTTATTCTATATCCAACAGGTTAAAGTGAGTGTCCGACAATGAATATTTCGCAAATACTAACCAAAGTCAAAGAGAAATTACTGTGGAGTGTAAGACCAATCATGATTACCATTGCCGTAGTTGTTTTTTCTTTTATTTGCTGTTGCTGTGTGTGTGGTGTGATGATGATTTGAGTCGCAGATAATTTCACAAGTTTTATTGCCGCACCGCACCGTACCGTAATTGTAGTCTTTTCTTTCACTTTGTGCTTTATTGGCACGTCCGTCCGTCCCTCGCTCAAGAGCACAAACACACGCACGCACAGGGCAGACGCAGCCTCACACACAAACACACACCAGCAAACACTCGCAGTGTGTGCCGCCGGCTGTAGAAAAATTGAATCAAAGAAGAACACGAAATAGGGTTAAAATATGCGCAAAATGCGGCAAATAGTTTCGATTTCTGTAATTAAACCCACACATCCGCACTAAAACGTGCCCAATGTTCAATTGGTGCAAATATTTGGCCACCTTCATTACAATTACATGCCTAGACACATGCATACATATGTACATATGTATGTATGTAGGGGTGAACCGCTACATTATGGCTAGACAGACGCCATCTTGTGGACTTGAGCTTAGATTTTACTTACTACATAAAACCCTTTCTCTTGCCCCCATTAGATGCCCCAACTACAGAAGCCCGCACCCGAATTCGCCGGCACCGCCGTGGTCAATGGCGTGTTCAAGGACATCAAACTGAGCGACTACAAGGGCAAGTACCTGGTTCTGTTCTTCTATCCACTGGACTTCACTTTTGTGTGCCCCACGGAGATCATTGCCTTCTCGGAGAATGCTCCCGAGTTCCGCAAGATCAACTGCGAGGTGATTGGCTGCTCCACGGACAGCCAGTTCACCCATCTGGCCTGGATCAACACCGCCCGTAAGCAGGGCGGTCTGGGCAACATGGACATCCCGCTGCTGGCTGACAAGTCGATGAAGGTGGCCCGCGATTATGGTGTTCTGGATGAGGAGACTGGTATTCCCTTCCGTGGCCTCTTCATCATCGACGACAAGCAGAACTTGCGTCAAATCACCATCAACGATCTTCCCGTTGGCCGCAGCGTGGAGGAGACTCTGCGCCTCGTCCAGGCCTTCCAGTATACGGACAAGTACGGAGAGGTGTGCCCAGCCAACTGGAAGCCCGGCCAGAAGACCATGGTGGCCGACCCCACCAAGTCCAAGGAGTACTTTGCCACCACATCCTAAGAAGCTAATCATCTGTGTGGGCGCTGGGCCAGTGCGGTGCTGTGGCCCTGGCGAGTCCAGGACGATTCGAATCGCATTGCACAGACACACACACATTTGAATACCTTAAATATAATATAATGAAACCCAAAACCCTAGAGCTAGTTCGTCATCCATATACGAGAGTTGTATGCATATTATTATGATTTGTGAACAAAAACTGTGAAATAATTGCTTATTTCTCCACCCCCTGCATTACAATACCAACACAACACCACAAACAAACACACACACATTACCTAAGCAGAAAGTGATTTATTTGAATTTGCTCTTAATTTGTAATTTCGCCTCAATTAAACTGTATTGAATACTACACCGGACACGTGGGTCTTTATCGGTGGAGGAAGGAGGCCTTTGCTGGCCGGAGAGGAGAGGGCCGAGAGACGGACTTTCGCCCTGCTTATCTGCATGCATGCATGCGGTGCTTACTTTTATCGCATGTCCCAGACAGAGAGCGGAGACGTATTTCGCAATCTCCGTTGATTATACGGAGGCGTATTAATATGCTAAGAATTCCGGAACGGAACGGAACGGAACCCAACGTCACAAGTCCACAGAGCACGAAACAAACCAGCTGATGCATGACACAGTGACAGTGGCGGCAGTAGGTTACGTTACACTGCTGCACTTCCCCTTTTCGCCAGCGTATTTATTCCCGTTTTGGATTCCCGTTTTCCTTTTCAATGTTAAGTGCAAGCCGACGACTGGTGACGTGGATGTCGTGCATATTAAGCAGGTCTTGGCGGGATGTATCTGTGTGTGTGTGGATGGAATGAGATGTTTCGCTTGCGTCTCGCCTATTACATGTGTTGCAGCGCATCACACGATCCGCCTGTCAGTCTGAGTCGAGTCGGTTTACTCTTTGGCCAAACTAGTTTACACAAATGTGAGTAAGTGTGCTTCTTCTTGTATATGTATGTATGTATGTATGGGTATGTACAAGCAGCTGCGAATCGTGGAAAAAGCTTCGGCGCTGTTACCGTGTCGCCGCCGATCGAAGCTACCAGAATACAGAACAGAAGGGGAACCCTTTCGAATGGTGCGATCGTATCGTTCTGACTTTATCTATGGAGACTGAGCATACATATTTTCTCAGTCATGGCGTTGTCTACTATCAGCCGAGAAAAATGTTTGCTCGCATGTTTACTACTCGGCAACACACAACTGCGGACAAGCTATTAGCTAGCTAAATATATTTGTTCATTTAAAAGAACTAAAAGCTCGCACTGAAGAGCATCACTGCTTCGCCGTTCCAGATATTCCCTTTTCCAATGGTTTGGTTTTACCTGAGCTGATGTTAGCCAACTATCGCAAAATCTATTCATATTCATAAGCGTCTCGACAGCTGCAAAAAAAAAAAAGAAAAAATAACAAATGCCATTTGGCTTTTGCTGAATCACTGCCCAGAGAGCTGTGCGACCAAAGCGTTTGCGTTTACTGGAAAGAAACATTTTTCTGAACACAGAAAACAGTGTACAAAAAAGTGGAATAATCTGCGTCTGAGCCAAATTGAGGGCGTTGGGTTTGAATGACTTTCAATTCTCGAATAACGGTATGTACATGTACATGCATATGTACATACACACACACATATGTACATACTATCGATGAATGTAAGGAAATGCCTTTAAGCGAATGAAAAGCAGGACTCGGAATTGCTGCTCCAAATCAAATGACATTGAAATACCCGGAAAGCACATACTCGTACCATATATAATACTTATAGTGTGCTGTCTGGTCTGTCGCGTAATTTGATTATTTTATAGACTGATAAAGCAAGAATCTAATGATAATCGCTGGCTCTGTGGTTCTTTTGCTGTGTTGGTGCTGGGCAGCCATTGGCTCAAGGGTTTGGGTCGTGTGGAAAATAATATAAAATGGCAAAATACTCGTAGATAGTAGATAATGGCCTATGTACGCAGAGTCCTACGGGTATTGGGTGTGCGGTAATCAAAAATGAAATGAATAAGTCTGCAGCTGCTTATGACCTTTCAATAGTACCGCCGAAGGGTAGTGGGGCGGTGTGGGTGGCGAGCGTACTCCTGATTGGCTCATCAATTATATTTCTGCCACTTGCACGCAGCGTGCAGGGTGGGTCGATAGTTATTATTATTTAGTTCTATGGCTGATAAGTATTTATGGAACATTTCCCGGACATCATTTGGGTGTGGGTGTGTTTGACACAAACTGCAATTATCATGTTAGATTATAGTCGGCAATGTGTTCGTTGTATTTTCGATTGATTGTCGAAATTATTGATTCACTTTTAATGGGTAAGGTCAACGGGTCAGCAGTCAGCAGTCAGCTCCGGAACGTATTCTTTTATGTTCTTGCCGTAAACTATAATTTGCGCAAGAGCTGTCTCGTACGAACAGAACTTTGAAGCAGCTAATGTAAGAGATAATGACGGGGGAAAATTGGTTTGCTCATCAAATTGATTATTATTTGAACTCCAACAGCAATTAGGCGGGCCAGCTGGGAACCTACAACCAATTGGCAGTGCCAATCAAACAGCTGATCCAGTGCCAGAAATGAGCGTTGTACAACACATATGTATGGTGTGACCGTGCGCTCCATCCCTTTTATTTAATGCGAGGGCTGCAAAACAGTGACTTCCCGCCAATATGTTTACTTTTTAAGGTTGTGCAGTTTGTTTTGATTAATGGAAATGAAACAGCGAGCGTGTATCTACCAGATACTTGCAACTGCCTGTTGACTGTAGCACGTTTTTCCACAGCGTCCTGTTGCACAATGCGCTTTGTAGCGCAGCTCTCTCATTGATAATCGAACCAATCAGCAACCAAACTTCGCAAAGCTTTGGCGCCATGCTGCATCTTGACAATGATACAAGACAGGGGGGATACGTGCATCAAAAATAAAGCGTGCAGTTCCTTCTTGACTTCTTACTGATACAATTAACGATTTGAAAATGATTTACAGATCTAAATGGCTATGCATTTCACACACTCATTCACTTGGCAACGAACTAACTTCAGTTACAATTATACACACAGATGAGCTTGTTTCACGTTGTCAGATTGATTTACTATTATTTTCATTTATCTTTTCGGCTTACATGTTACAGTGTGTACAAATTAACAAAAAAAAAATCTTGATCACCATTAATATGTATCAAATCATTTTATTTCGCGTTTAACTTTGTGAACATTCAGATTTGCTGCTTTTATTTTATGCTTGAATGGAATCCTCTCGTCGGTCCCGGGCTCGGTGTGAAATAAAAGAACATTTTACATATTAAACTCCCACACAGACGCTTTAGCTCAAGCATTTAGGTTGCTTAGAAGAAGAAGCCGAGGATCTTGCCTCCCAGATGTTTTCTCCTGGCCTCCTCGTGATCCATTATACCGCCCGAGGTGGTCAAGACAACGTAGCCGAACTGACGGGACGGCAGCAGATTGTTGGTCCACTTCTCAATGTCATTGATGGGCACATCGAACCTTGGGGAGATGACGCCACATTTGTTGAGGCGTCCCGTAAGGTTTACCACAATCTTGCCAGAGCGATGGTCATCGACAATCTCGAACTCGCCGATATAGCCGTGCTTCATCATCACAGTCAGGAACTTGATGATCACCTTTGAGCAGGGACGCAGCAGCACCTGGCGCTTGCCACGCTTCTCCGCGTTGTTGATGCATTTAAGGGCATCGGCCAATACGTTCATACGCACCATGGCTGCAAAATGTGAAAACGAGACAAATTAGTTCACGGCTCTCGCAGAACAATCAAAAGAACAGTAGAAAACTTTTCCTAAAAGCTAGCACGTGCAAAATACATGAAAAAATAACTCCAGGGCGGCCGCCATTGCCTGTGTGTGTGTGTGTGTGTGTGTATGTGTGCGAACTCCCATGCTGGGCTGTGTGAGTTCCTCTGTCTGGGCATTGGAGTTACATGGTGTAAACAACAACAGGCAACAGATAGATTTTCGGGCAGGACGGTGCTCCCCCTCATCAATATGCCGGCTAGAGATTCCCTAGGTCAATGGATCGAATGCTCTCGCCTGAATCCCGCTTACAGACGACACACAACCACCAGCAACAACAACAGCAGTCGCACACACACACACACAGCTGACATCTCCCTCACCGGGCAGGAATCACAGCCCAAAAACGCCGCAACATAAAAAAATTGGCAAAAAAATAGATTTAGATATCCTAGGACTCATTCATTGATGGACAATGTCATGTTTATACATTGGGCCAAGCGGGCAGTGTTCGGCGTAACCACTGTCGGCCAACAAGTAATTGGATAAACTTTGGCTCACAACAAAAAAATATAAAAAGAATAACATTTTTCACATATTTTGCATAGCACTCGCACTAAATCTATGGTTTAAACCACAGTGGACACATTTGGCTTGCCATTTTTTGGCTTTACTTTAACAAATCTATTAAATTAAGCGACGATTACCTAGGATTGATTTGCAAACACAAATTTACACGACCGCGAACGTATCGGAAAAGAGAAAGAGGAAGTCGGGCAGGCCGCATCTGACACTTGACAGCTGGCAGGGTTGCTTTGGAGCACCCAGAGTTGCTTCTGCTGCTGCCTATCAGAGCCCTGATAAAAAATATGCCGTTTTCTGCAAAAAATTTCTACGGTCACACTTCAAAAATATAAACATTGTATTTATATTTGGTCTTAATTGGTATACTTACAGTATATTTCGGTATATTTGGGACTGTCAGGTGGTATATTTCATTAGTGAAATCCGCGGCCAAATAAACAAACAAAAAAACAAAAAGAAATGTCAAAACCGTGAGTATTGCATGAAATAAGTTAACAAAATGACTATTAACGTGGGAATCATGATCTTAGGTATGGCCTAATCATACCGGGGCAGCAAAAGAAGGAGGCTGCCCGGCCGGCAAAGCCGCCCACCAAACCGTCCGTATTCGACGAGAGCAGCGACTCCGACGACAGTAAGAATGCCCCACAAATGCGCCCCAAAGCCGGCGTGACTGGCGGACCAAGTGTAATGGAGCGTCGGGTGGCACGCCGCATGCAGGAGAAGGCCCTGGCCGAAGATCCCACCATATTCCAGTACGATGAGCTCTACGACGAAATGGAGAACAAACGCGACGAGGCCAAGCAGAGCAAGAGTCAGGAGCCCCGCAAGGCCAAGTACATCAACCGCCTCATGGAGCACGCCGAGCGGCGGAAGCTAGAGAAGGAGCTGCGTGTCGAGCGGCAAGTGCAGAAGGACCGCGAAGCTGAGGGCGAAATGTACAAAGACAAGGACACCTATGTGACAGCAGCGTATCGCAAAAGGCTCGAGTCGATGCGCGAGCTCCAAGAAAAGGAACAGCGGGCCGACTACCTTGAGGCCATAGGCGATGTGACCAAGCAAAAGGATCTGGACGGCTTCTACAGACATTTGTACGAGCAAAAACTGGGCACCACAGAAACGCAGGTGGCCAAACCGAAGACAGCACCATCCACCGAGGAAGTGGCCTACAAGCCCATCAAAGCGGAAGTGCCAAAGCACCGCAGCTACAGAAAACGCCGTGCCTCTGACGATGAAGAGAATCAGCCATCCGCCTCTCCTGCCAAGCCAACCACAATTCCAGATACGTCTGACAACAAGCCAGGCAATGCAGCCAGCTCGCTGGCGCACTTGAACAACAACATAGATGCGGACTCTGATTTCAGCATCGATGATTCCAGCGAAGATGAGGTGGAGGATGAGAAGGAAAAGAACATGAAGCAGGCGCAGGCCAAGAAGCAGACCAAGAAGGAAAGTAAGTCAGAGCAGTCTAAGAGTCAAGACCCAGCCAAGAAGCGGAAAACGGAGCAGCCAGAGAAGCCCGAAGATGTCTGCAAGGAAGCGATGGCAGATCCCAAGTCCAAATCAAAGGATGACGATGGGGATAAGAAGGATGCTGATGTGAAGAACCTGCCCATCCCCACGGTAACCAAGCCGACCGTCGACCGTACTTTGATCTGGCGCAAGCGGACCGTGGGCAAGGTCCTTGAGGAGGCACTGGCCCGCTATCAGGTGCGCAAGAAGTCCCGTCAGGGCTGAATGCAATTAGAAAAGTTTTGGCAACGCATTAAAAAGGGGAAATAACCGAAACTCGAAAACAAAAAATGTCCATTGTTTGCTTATTATGTTAATTCCAATTTGTCCCCCGTGTCATAGTTTATTTATGCATGTGCATGGCAGTTTCAGCTTCAGCTTCAGCTTCGGGACCACAAAGGCATCTTCTGGGGACAAACCCCCTTGGTGCACATATTTAGCATAAGTTGCAATTTTCTTTCTTTCCTTCTCTCCCTCTTTATGCGCTTTCTACAAAAAAAATGGCAAGAAAATGCTGATGGCTTCGTCTGACGAGACATTAGATACCCTTGCCGGTCTATGGTGTTATTTTTGGATCACATTCATGTGTACTTTGTTCCATGTAGAGACGGATTTGGTGGACACGTTTTTCCGTGCAAAGTCTTATTCGATTCAGTACAAGTATCGGATCAATGATATGGTAATGCGATCTTATCAGTTTTCCTATAGTCTCTGACATGAGGGACTCCCACTCGGGTACTTTGAAATGGAAATTATGTCAATATGTGCACATGCATAAATACTCGTTTAATTCATGAAATTAGAGATGTTTTCTAAAGGTTGGGCTAGGTTATTTGTATTACCCACAAGAGTAGGGTATAAAAAGCTCACGGCGCCAACTTCGGCATGACGGATAGAAGCAGAGGAAGAGGCAGTGGCAGTGAAACCCTGGATGTGGATTGGCGACAGAGCCAGAGGAGCTGCTTGTAGATGGTGGGGTGGGGGATAGAAGCACGGAGCATGGCACGAAGATATTCCATTTATTTTGTATGACGACGACGACGACGACGACAAACCCAAAAGAGCCAACAAAAAGAAGACGGGAAAAAAAATAAAACTTGCAAAACGCCCAAATAACAAAGAGCCAAGTTGCCGTTAGTTTTCTTTTTTCTCTCTCTTTTTTTTGTGTGTTTTGTTTCATTTTACCGCAAAAGCTGGAAATCCCTTTTGAAAATAGGTGTGCCTGCCTGCCTGCCTTCGCTGCTCTGCGATGCGATGCGCTGGCTGTGGGCCGCGCGCCATAAAAGCGAAAGGCAAGGAATGGAAAGAAATGAAGGGGAAGAGCAAAGCCCGGGCATGGGCTATGAGCATAGCTGACATGGTTAGGAAGCGGGTCCGGCGCATTGCAGACATAGTAGACCACAGCATCAGGAGCAGGAGCAGCAGCAGCAGCAACGGCAACGGCAGCGTCCTCATCTGCATCTGCATCCTGGCTGTCAAGTCGGATGCTTCGCTTTTGATGTCGTCAACGTGCTCTCCGTCCTTGTCGTCGGCCTCGTGCTAGTCGTCCTCGTCGTTGTCGTCAGCGAAATTAATAGTGAAATCCATTTTCCATTTGGCACGGCCCTGTGCCCCGCACTCTACACTGCGCCACATAACAACTGCATCGCGGCTCTGGCCATCTCGCTTGCACACTCAACTCTTGCCTGCTTTTATGTATGTGATTCTCTCCCTCATACCTGTTTGATTGTGTCATCAATCTCACATGTCTTCTTCTTTTACTGCCGCTGCTCTGCTGATGCTGCTGTTGTTGTTGTTGTTGTTGTTGTTGTTGTGACTGCTCCTTCATTACATTCCTCTTCATCATTTGCTGGCGCTGCCGCTATTTCTACTTCTCATTCTTCTTCCTGTTCCTGTCCTTGTTGCTGTCTGTGCTGCAGTCGAGATTTGTGTTCCACATTTTAGGCAAATTAATTTGATATGAAATGAGCATTCCGTTCCGTCAAGTGTGCTTCCGCATAACGGATCGTATCGGTTGGAAGAGTGCGGCATGCGTACACATGACCATCTCTTTCTGATTGATGGCAGTGATCAGAGCAGTGGGGTGTGATTATTTTACCCTCTCTAATTGATTGTGTTTGGTGGTATGCAGTTGCTGGAATGGCCCAATTCGGTTTTGATAATAATCGGTTTAAGCAACAACGTCGGCGAACAGGGTATTCTGACAGCCAAGTGCATAAGCATTTGAGTGGATCGCTTAGACATTTATCGCATTAAAATGTTGTACATGATTAAGCAGCGAAGTACAAATATACATACATACATATGTATGAACATATATATTTTACAATATATTTTATTCAGCTCTCCCTCTCTCTCTCTATGGGTCTGGTCTTTACCTGATCCACGACATTGAGAGAATATGCAAATATCTTTGAGGAACAGTGCAGCTGCAGCTGTGGGATGGGAGAGCGATAACACGAGGACAGCGCTTGCATAACTGTAATTCCATTAACCCCGTTGTTCGTTCGTTATGCGGTCCGTACCTCGGTTGGCTGCTCTCTCTCTCTCTATCTCTCTTTGGCTGCTGCTCCTCGTTGGTTAATCAATTTACGATCATAATTACTTGGGCCTGTGGCGATGGTGCGGGCATGGTTTGGCTGCTTTTGGCTCTGGCTTTTCCTTTTGGCCTCTGCCAAATTGCACTGATGCAATCTGACTCTCCTTCTTCTTCTCCTCTCATGGCTTTGCTCCTTTGGTTTATATGTGTTGGAGGGGGGTGGCATTATGGACAGGGGCTGTGACTGGGGGTATAACTTAGTAAAGGCTTCAAGATTGTGATCATTCACGTGTAAATTCAATTATCAACATTTTCAATGCCAGGCTGGACGTATGAGGGGGTATTTTCACCGCAAAGGAGTCTAGGGGAACGGGGAGGGGGAGAGGGCGTACCAGCAGGCAGCGGCAGTTAGTCTTATCCAGAGTTGACAGGGCCGTAGACGAGTGGGGGGAAAGAGCAGAGACTTGCTCAGCACATTTAGGTCCCTCCCTTCATTCCCCCGCTCCACTTACTCTACCGCTCTAGCCGCGACGCCACTGACTCCCTGGGTGTGTGTGTATGCTGGTGATTTATTTCGTGTGTGCACTGAGTGTGTGTGTGTGTGTGTGTGTGTGTGTGTATGTGGGGGTAATGTATAAGAAGCCGAGCCGCCGCCTCTTGGCAAGAAGCAATGCGCGGCGCGGTGAGACGCATCCAAAAAAATTTCGTTTGCTGCATTGGACAGAGAGTGTAATGAAAAACTAGCTGGGGTGGGATGTGGTAGGGTGGGGTAGTAGGCTAGATGCCAACGCTCATGACAAACAAAACGCATCCCACTCACACACACATATGCACAGGACCGTGCACAAACACACATGTGTAGATGGAGCGTTCGCTCTGTCAGCCTCTTCTTGTATCTTTGCCATTGCATCTTCGCATATCCCGTTAGTTGGCTTGGGTCACGGGGTAGATTCGTTTCGTTGGCAGTTCTGTTGCCATGGCACTGCGCTGCCGCTGCCGCTGCCGCAGCCACTGTCTTAAGCCGCTGCCCGTGCTCTGCCGCTGCTTTAAGCGGCTCCCACTGCCTTTTTGCTCTGCTTTAAATGCTCTACTTTTGCTTTATTTTACTTTACTTTTCAGATTAAGTTCTGCCGCAAAGTGTGGTAATACGAGGTGAAGCATTCCAGTTCTCCCGCCTTTCCACTCGCTCTCTCTTTATACATATGTATGTGCCTTTCTTTGTGTCACCCACACAGACGCCTCTACAGCAACTTGTGCGAGAGTTCACTGTAATCCAGGAAGGCCTCACCTTGCATAAATACACCCTTTTCCTCTGCTTTCATTATGTTATTCCCGTGCACTGCCGCTCCGCTTCCTTGCGCCATCTCTGCAGTTCCAAGGTGTACTTATAATCCTTTCCAGTAGGGTGTGCCATATGTTGAAAGCTGTGAGATTTCTGCGAGCGGGTGTGAGGAGGCTTTTGTTCTTTTTTTTTATAACGAACTGCACTTTTTCGGATTAACATGGTTTTTTTTTATCAATATGTACAGACGGATGTACATATGGATGTACATACATGCATACATATGTAACTACATATAACAATAAAGAGTTTATGGCGTAATTATGGGATGGAAGATAGACAGCCCAACCGCGTATCTATTTATTTAAATTGAACACTCTTTAAATATTTCCAAGCCGAGAGTTTTTTTCTTTTCGTAGCCAGGAACCAAAATGCAGCCGTCTGAAAAAGTTAAGGGCCTCGTAAAACTGTCAATCCACAGCACTCGAATCCTGTTAAGCTCAGATGTCTCAGATTGATTCATTGATTCAGCGAGGAGCTTCGTAACAAAGTTACTTATTTGCTGTGAATATGGGTATTTTTAAAGAAATGTAATGGTTAAAATTACCTCAAGTACTGAATATTCGTATTTCCCTATTTTCTCATGATCTTTTATATTAATTCGGAAATCGGGTAGATCTGAATATGATCTGAGAACTGCACTCCTGCTGCCCCTCCCCTTTCTTTCCTGCCGTCACTCTGTCTCATTTTCAGAGATGGGTAATCGTCGAGTCGATACTTGTGCACCTCTAGGTCTTCCTGCAGGTCTTCCCCTGCACTTCCTTTAACCCCTACTGTGTGGTGTGGCTGTGGTTGCTGCGGGCGTTCGTTGTTTGCGTGTGTGGTGGGAATGGGTACGGGAGTGGGAGTGGGAGTGCGAGTGTGAGTGTGAGTGAATGGGCAGGGGGTAGAGTGTGGTAAGGTGAGGAGGGGGGGTGGCAAGGGGGAGGCCCTGCCTTAGTTTGCCTTTTGCGGGCGTGGCCTGGCTAATAAGCAGGAAATTAAAATGTTATATGCATTGTCATGGTTGCTCAGCCGTCCGTTCGTCCGTTCATCTGCCAAGCCTCTCCTCGGGCATTGTCAACTCTCTACGCCTGCCCCCGCCCTACTTCTCCACCGTCCTCCACCTAGATGTGTGTGTGTGTGCTGTAGTGTGCGGTTTGGTGGCGCGCCTTCAAGTATGCATTATTTTTACGTGTCAGTGCGCATTTTTGGCATAATTGAAGCACAAACACAGCGCCAGAGCTCCCGCTGCTTCCGTTGCTGAAGGTCGTTTATATGCTCTCAGCACTCACTCACACACACACACTTTCCCCTTTCCATTCTGCTGAGGCCATCCCTAAGCCAAAGTTAACATTGCGTGCCTGCAGCTTCGCTGGACTTGGATTAAGTTTTACACTCTTTCACCCGCTCTCTGC